TCAGCATCGCCGGCGTGTGGGCGCTCGTGGGCCTGGCTGTGGCCTCAGGTAGGCTGGTCTGGGCTCGGCTGCACAGGCGGGGCCCTCGTTGCCGCGGCCCCTGCAACGGCTTCAGCTGCATGTCCTGCTGAGGGCAGCACACCAGAGTGACACCACAGCTTGTGTTGCGCCTTGCCTCCCTGCTCTCCCGTCTGCCTCAACCTGGCACTGCTGCCTTCTGCATCCGCAGGCCTGTTCCTGGCTGGCGCCATGAGCGTGCTGTCGCTGTGGCTGCTGGGCGCTATGCTGGTGACGGGCGCCGTGGCCTGCAGCGCCTTTATGAGTGAGCTGGCCACGGGATAGGAGTGCTGCTGCTATGAGTGAGCTGCCCACGGGATAGGAGTGCCGCAGCGAATGGTGGCCAAGGAGATTACCTCATCTCTCCACCGCCGCAACAACTTACTTGGCCCGGCCCTGGCAGTGCCTTGGCAAGTTGCAAACAGGCCTGCTCTACTGCCTGCTGTACTGCCTGCTGCAGTGTACATCTCTATCGCCGCCACTCTGGCGTGCCTGCGCATGATGGGCCGCCTGCTGCTGGGGCCCCCACGCCAGCCTCGCGGTCACCTTCCTGCGGCGCAGCTCAGCGGCCTGACTGGCATCGAGGGCCAGCAGCGGTGCAGGGAAGGCGCCAACACACTGGCGCTGCCCCCCATCCGAACCAAGTCCCCTACCAAGTCGCCTGTCAGCAGCGCCAACCACAGCCCGCATGTAGAAGCGGCGCCCGGCTCCCCCAACATTCCTGCCGCCACACCCACGCCTCGCAAGCTCAACCCGGCAGGAGCTGTAGCAGCCTCCACCCTGAGTGAGCCGCACACTCCCGATCCTGCTGTGGCGCCCGCTGCCATGGCAGCTGCTGCAGCTGCTGCTGCAGCAGCTGCAGGCAACAACGCTCTGCGCCCCAGCCCGCTCCGCCGCAGCAGTCTCAATGGCGTTAACCGCAGCGCCAGCCCTCAGCCCAGCATCAGCGGAAGCGCCGACACTTCAGCGCCAGACTCAAGTGTCAAGGTGGGTGGCTGCGCCTTTTTGCCGTGTAGTCTCTTTGCTTTGCTGCTGGGTGCTGCTGTGTGCTGGGACCTGCGCGCTGCAGCTGTCGCCGCTGCTGCCTAGCCTGGCTGTCTGTTGTGTCGCGAAGAGCCAGCTGCCAAGCTCGCTCTGTTCACTTGGGCGTGGGACTGGCTCTGCCTTGACTGCAGGACACAGGCAGCTGCAGCAGCAGGACTAGCGGCGGCGCAGCTTCCATTCAGGGTGCCGCTGCGGAGCCCCAGGCCTGGGGCCCTAGGGCCCCACCAGCGGCGACCAGAGCACTGCCGTGAATGCTGCTCCTTGAGCACCCTCCACAAGCCGGTGGCGTGAATGTACACCCCTTACTCTCGCCTGTGTACCACCATCCTCGGGCTACACGCATGTTCCTCTCTACCAGACACCGCCTTCGTTGTGCATCCATCCCTGTGTGTGCCCTTTCATTTTCTCTTCAAACGGTGTGGCTGCATTCTGCTTCATCCCACAGAAAAAGCAAGCCCCTTGGTTGTAGCACATGCTTCCTATCAATCAGGCACCCAGGTACCATGCAAATTGTCCGTATCAGTGGAACTTGTCCCTATCTGCCGTCAAGCAACGCCCCGCTGCTTGTCAGGCGCCAGCTCGGCAGCAGCCAGCAGCAGCCACGTCGAGCAGCATGCTCACAGCTGCAGCTGCGCATCTACACTGCGGTGGCATCCCCAGCCGGGGAAGCATGCACTGGGCGCTCATCGGATGCCCTCAGCTGCAGCACCCGGGCGGAACGCTTGCCGTGAAAGTAGGCGGCGGCCAGCTCTCGCTGCTCTGCCTCTGCAGCGCAAAAGGGTGGGGCGCTGGTGAGCGCCCATGCCAGCTGGTCCTGGTATTACGGGGCCAGGCCCCAATGGGCACCAGGCAGCCCCACCAGTGCTGTTCTTTGAATACTCAGAGGCAACATAAAAAAGCAAGCACGCGCCTGGCAGGCAAGTAGTCAGGCGCGGCAGCACGCTCGACTCCTCCTCCAGCTGGTGGGCTATGAAAGACTGCATGTGTGCGTTGGCTTTGGCCGTTGGCTGTTGGTGGCAGGCAGTGCATTGCAGGCAGCTGCAAGAAGACAGTGTGCTGCACCATACGGCCAAGCCTGCACTTGCCTGCTCCAGGCGGGACATGCGCTGCACCAGAGCCTGCCGCCACTCAGCTGCCTCGTCCCCCTCTTCCTCGCCGCCCTCCCCTTGTGCGCTCTGATCCTGCAGCAGCTGCCCCAGGATGGCATCCACCTCGTCTGACATGTCGGTGTGCTCACGCCAGCCGTGCTGCGCCAGCAGAGCACCATCGGCGCCGCACCGCTCGGAAAGGACAGGGTGCAACACCGCCTTGGACGCCTGCGGAAAGAGGGCGGCAACCGGCAGCATGCTTGCCGTGGCTTTCAAGAGCGCTATTTTCAAGAGGGCCTCCCTGCTTTGCGTGGTCGGTGTACCGCCACGTAGGGTCACCTGGGCGTGCAGGTGCAGGTCGAGCGCCACAGCACCAGCAGACAGATGAGCATCAAGCGCTCCACGCTCGAGAGGCGGGTGGGCTCCTCCTCGCAGCCAGCGGCGGAGCGCTTGCTGTCACGAGCCTGGCAGGCGGCAGCGGACTCGAAGAACTGAGAGAACAGGGTCAGCGTTTGCCGATGGTCCTGCACTGGTTGGGGTTGAGGGGAACTCAGCAGGTGGCGCTGCGACTCCAGCACAACTCACACGGTGTCAGGCGACGGCAGCCAGCGCACTCACACAGAGCACCGCCTCGGAGAGAGTGGGCAGCTGAAGCGGGGACAGCACCCTCATCCTGCTCATCTGCTCCGCCTGCTCTGCCGCCATGCTGTTGGCTCGCTCAGGGCTGGCGGCGGTGATGCCAGCGGAGAGGGAGGAGGGCAGGGGGGTGAGGAGCGGGTCCATGGGTGCGGCAGGATGGCTTGCTGGAGGACAGAATGGTTCTAGTTGAGCGTCACGACCTTGGAGGGTGCCTACCGGGCGCCAACTTGGCGCGCGCTGGAACCTTGGACGGCCCAACAACCAGTGCAGTGGA